GGATTTCATTTCAGCTGGCAATGAGGTAGTAGCTGAGTCTTAAATGTAAGTGGTGAGATCAAAAGTGTCTTTGGAATTGTAGTTCCAAGTCCTCAGGCAGTGTGGATGAAGTTACGTGGGTTTGTTTGGGTTGTTTTCTGTTCGCATGGCTAATCTCTCCTGAATGCTTTGCCCTTGTGCTGTAACTCCCTCCCTCTCTCCCTGTGAGCACAGGACAGAAGCAGGTTCTGAACCCTGCAGCTGAGAGCCAGGCATTCCTCCAGCTCGCCAAGCTCTGCCAGGACCACACCTTGGTGGGCATGAAGTTACTGGATAAAATCTCCTGCGTGCCACGTGGGGAACTCTCCTGCAGTGAGTACATGGCAAATGATACTCCTTGTACCCAGTGTGTTACCCCACACAGCACTGCCAGGAGCAGAATCAGAGCACAGAGGGGAGCAGTGCTGGTGGAAGTGCCTGTCACTGGCCTCACACTGGATTTAAATTGGTAGATCTGAGTACACGTGCAGCAGAGAAGCACGTTGCTGAAGTGTTGCTTCAGTTTGCTTTCCAAACAGACTTCTTTGTGCCAGCAGCTGGGAAAAGCAGCTGGTGAGTTACCTGAGCTTTTGTAATTACAGGAGGAGGATATTGAGACTTTCTTCATGTTAATCACAGGTAGAAATTACTTCCTTTATCCTTTTGTTAAACCAGCTTTCTAGATCTTTTGTTACTCAAGTCCATTTTACACTTTGCAGCCTTATATACCAGGGAGATGTTGTCACCAGGCTTCTAAAACACAGCCCAGGGCAGTGCTGGGGCATCTCTGGCCCTGCTCCAGCAGCTCCCTGGCTCTGCTGTGCTGAAATACCTGAGTTCTTCTGTTCTTCAGTTACAGAATTGCTGATTTTGGCCCATAACTGCTTTAGTTTGACCTGCCACATGGAAGGAATCACCAGAGTGCTCCAAGCAGCCAGGCTTCTCACGGATGAACATTTGGCACCCAAGGAGGAGTATGGGCTCGTGGTATGTGCCTCAGTGCCCTGTGTTTGTCCAGGTGCTGTCTCAAGGGTTCCACCTGCACATTAGCAAGTAACTTTGCTCGTGAGCAGGGCAGGGGAGCAGGAGGGTGGTGGGGTGGAGGAGAGTCTGTCACCTCTGGGTCTCTGCTCTTGTCCTGCCTGCCCCTAGAAGCCAAGAGTGGGTGTTTGCCCTGATGTGTGCAGGTGGTGGTTTTTATGTCACACAAGCTCTTACAAGACTTCTCTGGAAAAAAGAGAGCTGAGATAGTGGAATTGTGAGGATGGGAATGTTGAAGCAATTCAGCTGCTGGTGGGATATGATGTGTTGTGTTCCTGAGCTGTTGTGTGACTTAAAGACCTGCCTTGAAAGTGCTCCTGGAGCCTGAGACGTGCCCAGTGTGATGGTGGTTGAGGCCCCATCCCTGGGGGTCTTTAAGGCCAGGCTGGATGAGGCTCTGGGCAGCCTGATCTAGTAGGAGGTGTCCCTGCTCATGGCAGAGGGGTTGGAACTGGGTGATCCTTGTGGTCCCTTCCAACCCTGACAGATTCTGATCTGTTTTAGCAGAGGACTTTAGAGCCCTAATGGCTAAATGATCTTAATGATCTTAAAGGTCTCTTCCAGCCTAAAGGATTCTATGATTCTATGGTGGCATTGCTGAAAGGTCCACTGCAGACTTTTCTTTGATAAAGTTACATCCTTTCACCTCCCAGTGAACACGATGCAGCGGGTTGGTTTAAAAACCAAAGCTCAGAGGGAACATCTGCCTGGCTGGTGCCCCTCTCCTGCTCAGAGGGGAGGGTCTCCCTGCCTTCCTCAGAGCTTCATCCTCTGTTGTCCCCCAGGTTCGTCTCCTCACAGGGATTGGCAGGTACAATGACATGACCTACATCTTTGAGCTGCTGCATGAGAAACACTACTTTGAAGTGCTCATGAGGAAGAAGCTGGACCCGGTAGGTGTGGGGGGATGATGGGAAAAAAACCTCCAGGGAGTCCTGTGGCTGTGTCAGGAACTGGTATTTACACAAGATGGAATTCCCTGGGGGGTTTGTTACTGGGGTGTGGGAAGTGTCAGTCAAGTTTCATAGTAATAAACTAATTCTGGGGCTTATTCTGGTTTTAGTTCAGTGATTTTGTTCTAATTCATCCAGTGCTGCAGTGAGAGCAGCATCAAAACTTCAGGCTGGGGAATGTCACTGGGAGTCCTCAGGTCCTGCTTTGGTTTTACTTCCAGTTAGAGTCTCCTGACTTTCTTAAAATCCTCAGTATTTTTAGCTTCCCTGTGCCATCAACAAGTGTCAGTTGTGACATCTGTGTGTCAGTAAATCAACCTGTAAGCTGCTGGATTTCCTCGCCTGACGTAACGTCGTTCAGCCCGAGCGGAACGTTGCCTTTGTGGCTTAAAATAGCACGGGGGGACCTCAGAGAGTGTGACAGTCACCCGTGGAGAACTGCAGCAGAGCAGCCTGTGGGCAGGGCAGTGTGAGCCGAGTGAGGCTCTGGAGGTGCTGACCCCCCCCGCCCCCTCCTCCTCCCGGCAGAGCGGGACGCTGAAGACGGCGCTGCTGGAGTACACCAAGCGCTGCCGGCCCGGGGACAGCGAGAAGCACAACATGATAGCCCTCTGCTTCAGCATGAGCAGGGAGATCGGGGAGAACCACCAGGCTGCTGCCTGCACACAGCTCAAACTCATCGAGTCCCAGCCCTGGGGTGAGTGCAGCGCCCAGAGCCAGCAGGCAGGGAGCAGTTCTGCACCCTGAGGGGGTGAGGACCCTGGCACGGGTCCCCCGGGGAAGCTGCGGGTGCTCCAGCACGGCATGGCTTCAAGGGCAGGTTGGGGGGGGCTTGGAGCAGCCTGGTCTGGTGGGAAGGGTCCCTGCCTATGGCAGGGGGTTGGAACTAGAGGATTTTGGAGGTCCCTTCCAAGCCATTCTATGAAATACTGGCCAGTTTAAGAGGGAAGAAGTGATGGGTAAAGGTAGCTTTGATTGCCTGGTACCAACCATTGAACGTCTGTGTGGAAGGAGGGTCCTGTTTGCCAGGTTTGGGCTGTTCTTGTACTTCTCAGTTTATCTGCCTGCTCTGGCCTTTGGCAAAGAATGACCTAATGAGGTTCCACCAGTAGCTGGGGTCCATTCACTGAACAGGCATCACAGTTTCTGTGTGATTTTTTAACACAATTTTTTTTTTTTGTAGTCTTCTGTTACCTTTTGAAACACCACTAAGGGCAGACTTGGTACCAGGAGGTGTTTTTATAACTTAATTTCCTTATAAATAGTTACACTTCTTTTTTTTCCTCCCTCTTTTCAGAGGAGTCTCTTCAGGATGTTGCAAACTTAAAGAAGCTGCTGCTGAAAGCTCTGACTCTCTTTATTGATGCAGCAGAAAGTTACTCTAAGGTAAAATGAGATATGGAATGGGGTGATTTCTGCACAGCACCAGGAGCACGTAAGGAGGGAGCTTGACTGGGAGAACAAATGCAGCTGCCCTGAGGGTGTGTGGCCAGTCCTGTCCCAGCAGAAGGGAGCAAGGGAAGCTCTGGCTGGGTCAGCTCAGCAGCATCAGAGCTGCTGCTGTGTCCACGAGCAGCACAGGACCCTGGTCAGCATCCACCAGCTGGGGGGACACTCGGGGTCCCTGGTTCTACAGGAGAGGCCATGAGTGTAACTGGCAAGGGCAGAGCAACATAGAGTGTGGAAAAGCTAGTGTGATGATGATGACAGAAGTCATTGTGGTGAGAGAAGCTTCATCTTAAACTAATGGGACCAGAGGAGCCCCAGCAGTGCCCCGGGGGGGGACCCCCTCTGCTGGGAGCCCAGCAGTAGAGAGTGGGGCTGGGGCAGCCACAGAGGAGAAGGCTCCAGCTGGGGAGACCTGCTGGGGGCTGCCAGGACTGCCAGGGGCCTGTCAGAAAGCTGGGGACAGACTTTGGAGCAGGGGCTGTTGGGACAGGACAAGGGGAGAGGGTCTGAAACTCAAAGAGGGAGATTGAGACTGGAGAGAAGGGAGAAATGTTGGACACTGAGGGTGGTGAGCCCCTGGCCCAGGTTGATGGGACCCTTCCACCCAATTGTGCTGATAAGACTGCAGTGGTGTGAAGCTGACCAGCTGGGCAGCCCTGAGCTCGGCGTTGCTCTGGGAACAGCTGCTCCCCTGCAGCAGGGCCCAGGGCTGGTCTGTG